ATGATATCTCTGTTTACTTGTTTTCTCTATTTTCCTTTTAATACAGCACTAGCCTTAGGCATAAAGATCTTGCACATCTTCTGTGGCATTTATTTCTATGCATTTGGTCATTTGATGTATTTATTTATTTTTGCTGTGTTGGGGATGGAACCCAGGGCCTGGTGCATGCTGGGCAAGTGCTACACACCGAGCTCCACTCCCAGCCCATTTGATGTTATTTATGGCATCTTTCTAAAAGTTTTCTTTTCTAACTGATGGTTGATTAGGTATAGAAATACAGTTGATTTTCTGTATGTTCTTTATCAAGCAAATTTGTAAATTCATTAATTTCAATAATGCGTATGAAGATTTAAAATTTTCTACACGCATGTATTTTTGTATTCTCTGTAGATAAGTATAGTTTCATGTCTTCTTTTCTGGTCTTTATACTCTTTATTTCCTCATATTCCTCTCTCCTGGCTAGAATCTCCAGTATAATGTTGATTGAAAATGATGATAGCAGATATCCTTGTCTCATCTCAAAGGGAAAATTTAGTATTTTGTTATTACATATGATGTTGCTATAGGTTTTTTTTTTTTTTTTGTAGATAGCCTTTATCAGGTTAAGGATATTTCTTTTTATTCTAGTTTACAGAGAGTTTAAAAAATCATGAGTGGATATTTAATTTTTCAAATACTGATTCTGTACTTAATCCTACTCATTTTCTCCTTTAGTCTGTTATCTGAGTGAATTAGATGTACATGTGAGAGAAGAAAGGTTGACAATTACTGAGCTAAGCATCTATCTGAAAAAGTTAAGGGATTTTTATTCCTCCTAGTTATTCTTAAAAAATAGCATTTGAGCCTATAATTCCTGTTGAAATCATACTGAAATTTAAACTACACTTTTGTGATAGGAGCACCTACCAACATTTAAAAATACTCCCTACTCTAAAGTAGAGTTGAAATTTATCATTTGTAAGTGGAGACTTAGCATAGAAACTGGGAATAACAGTTGATGCCACATGAACTGGCAAACATATTTTCTCGAATATTTTAATTTTGTAATTTTAAAAACACTTTGGGATGAGTCACTTATTTTGGTAATGACATTCTGGAATCCTATGCTAGCAATTAAATGCATCATTTTCTAGTGAGGTCTAGAAATAGTTCTTAGGCTTTGGTGACACAGAGGGATGCATGGGGCATGGCAGGAATATCATACGTCAGCAAGTAGACAGTCCCGTTTCCCTGGAAAACAATGTAAACAATTACCTTAGAGCAATTTTGCTGCTGTTTTTTTTTTTTTAAACCAATATTCATGTGTTTCCTCAGTGGAGGGCCTAAGACTTGAACTAGTCAACTAGACAGGCTATAATTCCCGACTCAGGCTATAAGATTTTTTAAATCAGTCTAAATACCTGTGCGTTCTACAGATTGTTTATGTAGATGGTAAGATACCTTATGTCAGTCATCTAGCTTCTTTACTGCTCTGCATCCAGTCTAGAAACGATGATAATTTTGGAACTCATGTAGTGGGAGTGAAGTTACTGATGTTAGATTTAATTCACAAAAACTAAATTCATTCTATAAAATGTGAATATCAGCTAACAATTTTTCACTGTAGTATTTGACTTGGAAGTTATTTACAAGGCAATTATTGGTCTTTGAGCCTATTTTATTTCACTGTTACCTGTTATTTTAGGTTGCCAAAGCTGAAGACTTCCTTCTCAGCTGATACTAAATGTTGTTGGCTAAGCATAGACGTCACTATCAAGAAAACAGGAAGCTATGTAGGAGAACCTGCCGAATGGTAAATTAATAGTCAGAGTAAAGGAAACTGACGTAGATTCAGGGAAGGAACCCTGGATTCATCTACGTTGTTCTTTTTAGGTGGCTTAAAGAATAGAAGTGGCCTAAATCACTGTTTTTTTTTCTTTCCACACAGTGTCAAGTAATGGGTTTAGCCCTAGTCAGAAAGTATGTATTTTCTTATATTTTGCATTACCTTAAAAACATTAACCTTTTGATTGTGGTAATGTTGTACAGGTTGCCAGTCTAGATTAATACTTGGCTGTCACTAACATGCCATCTTTCTCTTTTTATAGTGAAACCTTAATGTGTATCTGAATTATTATCTTAATAACTAGGAATAGTCCATAATAATTTAAAGTGTTAAATCCAAAATTACCTTTTGCCATTTTTTTAAGAGTTTATTAAAATAATTTGTTCAATCAGTCAACAGGGTCAGCATTGTAGATCCAAGTTATCAAGTTACAGGGACTTTATTCTCTCTTTTGTATTCAATGATTTACATGTATGCAGACAGGTCCTGTACTTCTCACTGTAAGTAATTTTCATTAACGCACATGTCATAGAACCTCTTTTTGGCCATGTCTTATCTGCTTTTGTTTTGTATTATTATGAGTACTTAGTTAATAAAGTATCATTTGTTAAAAATACATAATTTATATTTTTCACTACTTCTGATGATCTTTCCTTTAGTTATTAAGAGATGGCTTTAGTGTACTGATTAGAAAAATTGGCCCCATGGAGCCAGATATCCTGGGTCTAGATCCTAGGTTTTTTGCTTACTAGGAAGTTGTACATCTTAGATGTGCTTCACTTTCCTCTTTTATAAAATGGAGCTACTAATAGTGCCCATTTTGGAAGGTCGCTGTGACTTTAAATAGTTTAATGAAATAACCTAGAACAGTGCCTGCCACAATAGTCAATGCTGTTTTTTCTTCTCTCACTAGAATTGAAGTTCCACAATACTGAAGACCTTGTCTGTCTCATCCACTCTGCATTCCTAATACCTAGAACAATGCTCAGTAAATCTAACCAAATGGAAAAAATAACCCAAAAAAGTGAATGAGTCACTCAGATGGGAAAATGTGCTTTTGAATACCTTGAGGTTGCCAGAACTAGCCATTGATGTGGTAAGGGAGGGAGATGAAGTAATAGGACAAAACAAAAACCAAACCAAACCAAACAAACAACAACAACCCCCCCAAACTAAAACATTCCCCCAATCCTGGTAAAACATATAGTAAATAATATAAAGAGTGGCTCAATGGTGAATGTAACTATTCAGAAAACAGACAATTTCATACTGAAAAAGGAATGAATTATTCAAACTAGTAGAATCAGTTCAATTCGAGGATTTTGTATACTATTACTAGCTTCATTTGTACCCTAGATAGATAGTGTGATCCTCAAACCCCCAAAAAACTGGATTGCAAAAGGTGTTTTCCATCATTTTAAAGCATTGCAGGTTCTTGGTGTTGCTTATAGGGACATTGCTATCATTAGATTATCATTTATATTTTATTATGCTAGGATTTGTATGTTTTGCACAAGTCTTCTCAAATGGCTACAGTGTTGTGGACTAGCATCCCTAAGCTGGAAATCCAGAGTCCAACATGTTTTGAGTGTCATCATGGTGCCACAAGTGACTGCACATAATGGGTTGTAGTCAAAACCCAGTGTGCTAATGATATCGTGCCTCAAGGCTGTGGTATAAAAGGTGTATATTAAACATAAGTGAATTTTGTGTTTAGATTTGTGTCCTATTGCCAAGCTCTTCCATTACGTATGTACACATATTCGAGAATTTGAGAAGTATGAAATGGGAGGCACTTCTGGTTCCAAGCATTTTGAGTAAGGGACTTGGAACCTGTGAAATATTTTAGTACATTTTTTATATTAAGGGGAAATGAAGACTATGTTCTTAAAAATGTGTGAAACATTAAATTAGGTCTCACTTACTTGTTAATACATCTTGGTTGTTTACTTCTTTATTTTTCTTTTATACTGTATCAATAGAAATACCAGTTTAACATGCACAAAGGCAAGAAAATGAACGATGAGAGATACTGAATTTCTTTGCTCTGCCCTTCGAACATGTTTACTTTTTAAACTGCTGTATTTATATTTTGATCCCTGAAGATAAAGAGGAATCATGAACCTAGTGATTTAGGCTAAGTACATCAGAGTTAAGGTTTCTGTATTATTATTTTCCCTTTTACATTCAAGTAGTTTTGGGAAAAAATAATGATACATCCGATTTGAGGACTGAGTTTCCTTAAAGCCAGAATTTCTTGAATTTATTTTGAAATGACTCTTACCCTTCGAAGTAGCCATTTGGGGAAGGTGACATTTATTCCAACCACACTTCCATCCATTGAACTACTTTTGTAGGCTTATTCTTAGAACTTCTTCAGAGCCAGTTTTGGAATTCTGAAGGAAAATTAGCCTCTTTTCTTTACTTTAAAAAAATGAAATGAAGATACCTAGCTTCCTTGGTTCACTGCATGTTAGTATCTTATTAACTTAAGAGGCTGGTTTTGCAGGTGAATTGCAAGATCAGAAAGTATCTTGTAAAGTAACATTGTAGAACTTTGTGAAGTAATAGATTTATAAAACCCCTAAATGTTGAGACCTGGTGACTAACTCAACCCGCCCCCTTCCATTTGCATTTTATTTGAAATCCAGAACCATGCATTGGGCTTTCGTGCAGATGAAAGTTGCCGTGTGCCAAATGTAGAGGAAGCGGCATACCTTTGCAGAAAGCAAGAGCCATCTGGTACCAGAAAAAGGCCAAAAGTGGGCTCTTTTTGTACTAACAGAGTGAAAGCTAAGCGTCTATGTTTAAAATATGACCATAAAATTATTCTTCTTTTATAATTCTTGGCAACAAAGAGTAGAGACATGTTTTGGATGATGTGCATAGTTTAAAAGTCAAGATCATTTCTTTGTGAAAAGTAGTTGAAGCACTGTTGGTGTTTGTTGTTAGAAGGCATGTAAGTTTTATTTATTTATGAAATAAATGAAATTTTTGTCTTAGTGCAAGGCTTATTGTCTTGGCCTCCATGGCTTTTATTTTGTTCTGTAACCCCATGTTTTGACCTTTTAGCTATAGGAATCACTTTTTATGTACTTTATTAAATATTGTAAATATGTGGGCTTTTAAACTTTTGTTTTTAAAAAATGTTTTTTTTTCTCTCTCTCTCTTGAAGATGTACATCATTGACTCCTGGACCAAACTGTGACCGATTCAAACTCCACATTCCATATGCTGGAGAAACATTAAAATGTAAGTAAATGACAACTGTTTTGCTTAAAATATAGATTACAGGATTAATTATTGGACTTTGTGGTTTAGTTTTTATTTCTGGCTGTTAAGAATTATCTTCTGATTTTTTTTTTTTGTTTGTTTCTGGGGTTTAAACTCAGGGCCTACCCTTGAAATATTCTGCCTGCCCTATTTTTGTGATGGGTTTTTTGAGATAGGGTTTTGTGGAACTGTTTGTCTGGGCTGGCTTCGAACTGCTGTCCTTCTGATCTCTGCCTCCTGAGAAGCTAGGATTATAGGCGTGAGTCACTGGCACCCAGCTTATCTGCTGATTTTGATCACTAGCATTTACCACTTTTCTTATCTGTCACTCAGTCCTAGTTCTATTTAAAGTAAGGCAAGTTGGAGAATAAGTTGGAATCAAATAAGCCTGCACAGAAATTCTTAAATTTTAGGCATGTACTATAATTCTTATATATTTTTTTCTCTATAGGTAGCTTCCTATGTAATACCCCAATTAAAAGATTTATTGCTTTAAAACCCTTGTTCCTTCCTATTATTGCTTATACTCTCTCTTCAACAAAATTAGAAATAAGGGCAAAATAGTTTCTGCTGGGTATTGAGGGGGTTGGGGGAAGAGGGAAGGGGTGGAGTGGGTGGTAAGGGAGGGGGTGGGGGCAGGGGGGAGAAATGACCCAAGTATTATATGCACATGTGAATAATAAAACAATAAAAATTTAAAAAAAAAGAAAGTGTGAAAGATTTATTGCCTTAAAATACCTATTTAGAAATAGTTTTTAAGTAGGAATGGCTGCTGTCCACCACTGCTGCTAACCCCTTTTAGAACCACTACTGCTCGGAGGAGGTGGGGGGATAAAGGAGAAAGATGGAGGGAGTGAATTCAAGTATGATATATTTGATACATTGTAAGAAATTTTGTAAATGCCACAATGTATCCCCCACTCTGCACAACAATAAAGAAAAAAAAATAAAACCTCTACTGCCAAAGAACAGTTATCACTGATGCCGTCCCAATTGCCATCTGAGTATAATAGCCCTTCTTCAAAGACTTCCCCTCCTCTTTCACTCCTCTCTCTTTCTCTCTCTCTCTTGCTAGGATCAAACTCATGATCCTCCTGCCTCAGCCTCCTGAGTTGCTGAGATTACAGACATACACCACCATGCCCAGTTTCTTCCTCAGTCTCAGAAAAAAGTTAGGCACATCAACACATTACCTTTCATATAGCAAGGGTTAGAATACAAATGACCTACAAGGACTGGACTGATAACATAAATGAAGGAAGCAGACTAAGTGTGGCAGTGTGGTAAGCCTCTTTTTTTCTCCCTCCCACAGTGGTACTGGGGTTTTAACTCAGTGTGTCAAGCTTGTAAGGCAGGCACTCTGCCATTCGAGCCACACCTCCTGCATATATATATATAAAATTGACCCTCCACCATCAGGGACGAGCTGCTTCTCAGCTACCATATCTTCGTATTCATAGAAGTCAGAATTTTTATTTGAAGTCTGTCACTGTTAGATGTTGGCCACTTTTTCACAAGTAAACAAACGGGGCCAGCATTAGGCAGGCTGAACCGCATGTGTCTGAGGGCTGCCTGGAGCTCCTGGGCTATGGGTTTACGATGTCGCTGGGATGGTATGCAAGATCTCCACTGAATTTCTGCTACCATCCACAGCATCTGTCTAGGTTGCACCAGCCTTTCTCTGCCACTGTTACCAGTGTTGACACTCCAGCCTTTTGTGGAAATGACAATAGCCTTGGTTCATTAGTGTCAGTAATCTCACCAGGAATTGTTCTATCTTGAGCATATACTTGTGGTGAACAGGGCATTAATATTTCCATGTTTTTAAAAAGAGGAATAAAGAACATGGGAATTAAAGATGTGACAGGCGGGTCACCTGTGTCTTTTGGTCTATTAACTAAATGCTTTCCCTCTACACACTGGGAAGGACCACATGTCAATCTTCCGTACCATTGCTTTATGTTAATTTACCATACGCAACATTAAATGGGAAATTTAGGACATGCTGACTTGTTAACCTTGTGTTACTAGATCATTCTCCAGAAACCTGCTGACTTGTTAACCTTGTGTTACTACATCATTCTCCAGAAACCTGCTGACTTGTTAACCTTGGGTTACTAGATCATTCTCCAGAAACCCTCAAAATACAAAAGAATTTTGCCTGTTGGAGGTGGCAAGACAGATTAGGTCCCTACTTTTTTCAAAAATAATTTATTAACTAAATTTAGAAGAAATGATCAAAGTAAATCACTCGTGGATAAAAATGGAAGTAGTACTGAAATTATTTTATATATGAAAGCAATTTTTTGTTCCATGACTCCCTCTGCTAGTCCTGTTTCCTGAGGGAACCAATTATAGTTAAAAAAAATAATTTCATTTTAGTTCTTCAGGTGGCGAGCTCCATTTCTCTAAAATAATAGCTTCTGCCTGTTTCTTGACTTGACAGTTTTAAACATTATCATCTTTTGATTTCCTGCCCTGACACATGAGGCATCAGCCTGTTTACACTTTAACCCTTATCTCTCTCTTCCTCTTTAATGTAATTGCATCATCATTATTGGTTCCTGTTTTTGTTTACCCTGTAGCTTAAAGTTTTACTTTTTTCTTGCACTGCTGGAGATCGAACCCAGGACCTCACTCAAGCTAGACATGAACCATAGATAGTGTGTTTTGACTCCATATTAGCTCCTGCCTTTCTTTCCTTTCCTCTTCCTTCACCTTTCTACCTTTGTTGTTTTCCTTTTCCATTTTCAAGATTGAGAACTTGTTGTCTGTTCTAAATGTATACCTGACTTCAGTGTTTCATTTATAAATTGTTTGAATGATTGCTCTGAAGGCCTGTCCCTGAATATACTCCCTCTGTGCTATTTTCATTTGTTCTTCTCTTGGATTTCACCTTATTTTGTAGAATTTATGTGTCATGGATTGTATGTTTTTTCAAATTATTTCTTAGTAAACAGCAGGTTACCTACTTAACTTTTCGGAACCCACTCTGAAATAATTTGGATTCCATTCCTGCCTCTCCCCTTTCTGCCCTTCCTGTAGCCCTGCTGATCATTAGGTATCTTACTAAGAGCTCTTTCTTGCTCTCTGTTCCTCTTTCATAGTATCCTATTCTTATTTTATGAATACAATCTTTTTTTTTTTTTCCTGTAGTACTGGGGCTTGAACTCCAGGCCTACACTTGAGTCACTCCACTAGCCCCTTTTTGTAAAGGGTTTTTTTTTTTCAAGATAGGGTCTCATGGAACTATTTGCCCTGGCTGGCTTTGAACCACAAGCCTCCTGATCTCTGCCTCTTGAGTAGCTAGGATTACAGGCCTAAGCCACTAGGTGCCTGGCCCTTTTATGATTTTTCATTCAAATTTAGAGATTTTTAAAAAATTTCCTTTGTTATATGAATTATTTTAATTCTCCCCAGGGTATATATTTTATTTTTTTTTTATCCTCTGTTATTCTACAGGCTTTCCTCAAATAAAGGCATCAATGTATATGTAAGATAGTCAATAGTACTGATTAGGTGAGCAAGGCTTGCAGACTGTTGAAGAGTAGACCAGCTACTGTTAGTATGGAGGACCCCCATGTGTCATATTTTGGAGTTCAGGTGTTTTCCAACTAGTTTATTGTATTTCTTCAGTAAATCTTCTATATACCTGGCCACGCTGCTTTTTTGGGGGGCTGAGTATATAGACTATTCTTCAAGGAGCTTCTGGTTAATCTTCCTGTTCATAGCCCTGAGTTTCATTCCTGGCCCCTTTCCACTGGATGGCTACAAGTTTTTATGGCTTCACTGGATAGTTGGCTTTCTTCTCGTCGACAATCTCTTCCTTACATCATCGCAGGACAAAGCTTTCTCTTCTCAATTACTACGCCTCTATCTGCATTCTGCTTTCCACAGATTTGTTGAAATTTCTCATTTACTGATTGCTACTTTCTTCTTCACCCTCCTATTCTTTTAGATTTTTTTTAATCTATCTTTGTTTTTCGCTATCATTAAATGATGGGAGCTCAAAAAGAGGAAGAAATAAAAATATATTGGTCAGTCCGCAGTCTTGAGACAGAAGTAATGTGGTTTCAATGGCATCTTTCTAGCTGTGTGAGATCCTGTATCTCCTCATTATGTAGATTTTCATAGGAAACCTGGTATTCATTATATTTTCTATCAAACTATTTGTTGTTACCATCGTTATATATTAAGGACTAATTATAGCCCATTCTGTGCTCTATAATAAATAACTTACTGTTGTATATCCGAGTTGTTACTCTAAAGTTGGTTAAGATGCTGGCTGTAAGCAGCCCACAGCCAAATAAAAGGAAAAGGTAATGGATCATGAAAACTACATTTATATAAGTTCATTGAATTAGAAGGATGAGTTTCTTTTCCTGAAATTCTTGACTTTATCTAGGCAAGGTTTCTGAAGGATGTTGGTCATACACTTAAGTCTAGTGGTGGGAATAGCATGGCAGTGGGTGCATAGCCAGGAGATTTTATTTGGCAGACTGCAGGAAGGTGGTATGACACATAATTTCCTACTAAGCTTTTGGAAGCTATAGTGGTTAAGGTGACATTTTACCTCTTGCCTTAAAAAATTATCCTAACTCTTAAATGTATATCCTGTGGGGTACCCCAGTGCTTCAGCAGGGGGGCAAAGCCATAAATTCTTGCCTTAAAAAATTATCCTAACTCTTAAATGTATATCCTGTGGGGTACCCCAGTGCTTCAGCAGGGGGGCAAAGCCATAAACTTATTTAAAGTTACAGATGGAAATTTTTTTTAGGATCTGTTGGAAATGTTATAGACTCATCAAAAAGAAATGAAATTAGCTAAATGAATTATGAAATACAGATCACTGTAGACATTGGAATATTTACATAAATTTATAAAATCAAAACATTTGAGCCATCTTTATTAGACTGGTGTCTTGCCTGCCTGCCCACATAAATTTCCTTTTGTCAATGCTTACAGAGCAAAGTTATTTT